CTTCTTCTTCTTCTTCTTCTTCTTCTTCTTCTTCTTCTTCTTCTTCTTCTTCTTCATTTGGTTTTTTGAGACAGGGTGTCTCCGTGTAGCCCTGGCTGTGCTAGAACTAGCTCTGTAGACCAGGCTGGTCTCTGACATTCTCTTCTTCATCTTCATCCTTCTCTTCCTTCTCTTTGCATTGTAGAGGATAGAGCCCAGGGCCTTGGACTAGGGGCCACTGAGCTGCATAGCCACAGTCTTAATAGATTTTACAACAGAGGGCATTTTCTTTGTCCATCTTGGTGTCCACCCCTGCACATGATCATACATATAGAGACTTACCACATGATGGAAGACTAGTTTATACATTCTTGGGATATTTGGGCTCAGATGATGCCCCTAAAACATGCTCTTCCAGAGACCTTCTGTCCCTCACTATGGGATGGTCCCTTCACACAGAATGCCAGAGTCTCCCAGGAACTTATTAGCATGCAGATTCTCATTCCAGGCCACAGATACACCAAGCCAGACTGTTGTCCAGGAAAGAAAAATTAATAGCCAGATGACACCAATCTGCTGCTCTGGACTTTGAAAAAGATGCCCTCTCTCTGTGTGTCTGCAATGAAAGCTGTGTGTTGTGCTCATGAGAGTTTTCTTGGGCCTTGCTGTGAGCTGGGATTTGGAAGATCTGGGCTTAACTGTTTAAGCCATTACCCTCCAGCTCACTTGCTTTTAAATTGAGACATCTCTCTAGGGGAGGCACTGGAGTGTAGGCTTCTCTACAGACATCAATTCTGAAGGAGCCACCTCTTCTGTGTGCTCCGAAAGAATGACTTTTTCTTGGGCTAGGCTTGGCAGCTGTTCTGTTTTCTTGGAAGTAAAGTGTCTGAAGTGACTATGTGTACTCCTGATAAGATGAAACAAGCGTGTAAAGACACCCTCTTTGCCTTGCTCCTTTGTGTCTTACCTCTCGTTTCTTCTCAGATATTGGTAATTGAGACTTTCATGTGTGAAAGCTCCGTTACACACTGTCAATATCTTATGAGAATGCTAGTGCCACTCTCTTGGTTACTATTCTATCTCCGTGAAGAGACACATGGTGGTCCAAGGCAACTCACAAAAGAAAACTTTTAATTGTGGACTTGCTTACAGTTTCAGAGGGTGAATCCTCTGTGACAGGATCATCACAGTGAGGAGGATGGCAGCAGGCAGGCAGGCATGGTACTGGAGCAGTAGCTGAGAGCTTATACCTTATCCACAAGTTGGAGAGAGAGAGAGAGAGAGAGAGAGAGAGAGAGAGAGAGAGAGAGAGAGAGCTAACTGGGAATAGCTTGAGCTTTTGAAATTTCAAAGACCACCTTCAGTGACACATCTTCAACAAGGCCACACCCCCTAATTCTTCCCAAAACAGTTCCACTAATTAGGGACCAAGCATTCACATTTGAACATTGTGTGTGTGTGTGTGTGTGTGTGTGTGTGTGTGTGTGTGTGTGAGAGAGAGAGAGAGAGAGAGAGAGAGAGAGAGAGAG